AATTTATTTTATTTTATTTAATTGAGTGAATTTATTTTTCTCAAAATTAGTGTGACAAATCAAAACCCCCCATTATATATATATATAATATAATTATAAATAATCGAATAGTCAATATTGTTAATGTTCTATGTGGAGACGACCCTACTCACCGAACTATTGCATTTTGTAATTTTTTGTGGCGTATGAACTGATACTTTATTTTACAGTTATGCGCATGCGTGCAGTAGTGAATAATTATCAAAATAAATAATTTTTACCTAAATTATGAATTAAAATTATAAAAAATTATATTAACTTTTTAATGAATTTTTTTTTAAAAAATTTTCCACTAAATTGAATTAACTTAATTATATAATTTTTAAATTATTCAAAAATTGTTATATTTTGAAAGTTTTTTTAATATCTTAAAAATAATAAAATGCTTAATGAAAAACAAATATTCAATAGTATGTAAGTGTATGTTCTTTGTGTTAATATATATGTTTAGCATTATGGTTAGCAGAGAATGTAAGAAAACAAAAATACTATACACTATTAATAATAAAGCTACAAGTAATAATTACTATAAATAGAACAGAATAAAATATTAATAAAAATAAAAGACTGTTTTATTAAATTGCATAATTAATGATAATACTATTTAATAATGATGATAAATAAATAAATAAAATTAAGAAAAAAAATAAACATAAAAGACAGTATTAAAAGGTACTGCCATAGCCTTGCTCTTGCAGGAGTATTGCTCGCAAGAGTAGGGACAATAAACCAAAATTTTGCATTAAAAAAATAAAATAAAATTATAATTGACTAGAGGACTATATAGAAATGGAAATAATATATATATATATATGTAAAGTGGTATTTGCAAACAAATACTATAAAAGTAGAAAGTCTAGTATACAAAATTTATACTATCTCTCTCCCTTAACAATCTTTCTATTTTTCTATTTTGGTTCGTCCCATACCAAAGTATTCAATTTTTTTTTAGTAATTGTATTATCTACATAACATTACAAATACCCTTCCAATTTACAATATATTACACAAATGTCATTATATTTATATCATACAATACTAATAGGGTTAATTTAGTCTTTTTATCTTTAATTTTATTTTATCTCAATATAATACTAATATTTCTAAAATATCGTGCAAAAAGTAAATAGATATATAGATATGAGACGGAGGGAGTATTAGAGACCAAATTAAAATAATTATATGGCTTAGAGTATTAAAATAGGTTGAGTTGGTTGGGTTTGCCCGGCCTGCCCCACTTTTAGAAAGGGTTTTGAGTTTCAATTTTTTAGGTCCATTAAAATACGGGTCTAAACGAGCCAATCTACACGAACTGCGGGTTAGAAGTGGACTAGGTCGCAGTGGAGCGGGTTAATTCGAGGCCAAATAATTATAATTATATTATATTTTTAATATTTCAAATAAATCTATCTATTTTGCTATTTTATTATGTCTAAAATTAATCTATTTATTTTATTTTCAGTAATTGTACTTACTATGTAACTTTAGAAAATTCTTACAACTTACTTATTATTACAACGAAAATCATCATTATTGTTTAATAGAGATATTCATAATTTTTAATAAAAAAGTAAAGAGATATAGGCATGTGAGATTGATGAAATATTATATTTTATATTAGTTTTTAAAAATATTTTATCTTAAGTTAAATCAAATAATTAATTTATAAAAATCTTTCATATTATGTTAAAATAATTAACCAATATAGGTTATCTGTGATATTATTCTCTTTTATAACTGCTTTGGAGATGTTGCTATTTTCTTTATTTTAATTCTTTTTTCCATATTTTATTCATTTTCCATTGTTTTTTTTATTTTTTTTTCTAAAATTTATTAAAATATTTATAAAAATAATACATATTTATTGTTTAGATATTTTCGATTAACACATTTTTTTAAAAAATAACGACCGAAGATATTTAAAATTTTAAATCAATTTATGTTACATATTTATTATTTAAATTCTAAAATATAACTATTTTTTATGTTAAATATATAAAAAAATATTTTAAATATTTTTTAAAAGTCCGTGGATTGGCCCGCTTGGCTCGCCACCAGCCAATGGGTTGGGTTGAACTGTTTAAATCTTAATTCGTCTCATCGCGGATTGATTCGTAAATAATCAACTTATTTGCAAGCTATGATAAATTGTGGGCTAATTCGTTCCACCAATTCATTTTGACCTAGATCAAAATCTCAATCCCAAACAAAACCAAACAAACATGGAATGTGTTTGTGGCTATTGGTTGTTTTTTAAATTAAAAGTTCAATTGAAAATTATTTATTTAATTAATATGTAATTTATGCTATAACATACATATTGAGTAAATTTTTTTTATAATATATATTTAAATATTTTAAATTTTAATAAAATATATATAATATAGATAATAAAAAAATTATATAATATACATAAATAAATATAAATATATATTTATATTGAATACACGGGTTTGTTTGTTTGGTATTTTGGTTTGAAATAAAATTTTATTGTGTAAAGTACATAAAATTATGTAAGTAATATAAAAATAATCAATGTATATAATATATTAATTTTTTTGAAAAATATGTTAGAAATTTTTTCACAAGCAAACAAACTCTAAATTAATTTATAAAAAAATAATTTTTTAATATATATAAATATAACTATTTATCGAAAAAATTATATAAGAACATAATATTTTGAATGAAGTTTATAAGATATACTCTCTATGTTGTGCATTAAGGTATACGTTTATTTTTTTGTACAGAATTTAAAAAATAATAATATTTTCATTGCAGTGGATAATTAAAAATAATGTAAAGATAATTTTGTCTTTATTTTTTAATGTAAAAGTAATAATATAATAGTAAAGTAAAGATATTTATATAAAAAAATTAAGATACGTAATTACTTAAAAGAAGAAATATATAAAGTAAAACGATACGGATGGAAATTGAAACATGTATATGTAAACGCGGGACGGAAGAAGTAAGCATAATACCATATGAACTTCACTTTTTTTTTATAAATATTCCTACTTTACCATCGTATTATTATACTTTCAATATTCATTTAGTTGATAAAGCTAATCAAATCAACTAATAGTCAAACACTTCTTAAATCTTTATTAGCATTAATCATTGTTTTTTACACTAACTACGAATCCATTTTTTTTTCTACAAAAATATTCTTATTTTACTATCATATCATTACTTTTACACTAAAAAATAATGACAAAATTATTTAAATACTATTTTTAATTACTCACTATAATTAAATAATACTTCCTTTCTCTTCGATAAATTATCCATGTTAACGTAGATACAATAATTTAGATAAAAATATAATTATAAGTAATTAAGAAATATATTAGTAAAAATAATTATAAATTAAAATTAAAATAACTAAATAATCTAATTGAAATAAAAAAAACTATAAATTATTAATTTTAAGATGTGATTAAAGTATAATTATATTTCTGAAAAAAAAATGATTAATTATGTGAAACATATTAAAATAAAACAAAATGAAAATTTTATGTAGAGCGATATAATATTATTTCTTATTATTACCGTAAAAGTAAATGTATACTTTCAAAACGAACCGAGAGAGTAATATTTATTTTGTTATTTTAAGATGTTTTTTTAAATTATTGAAAAATATGATAATTATTCTGAGAATAATATAAAAGATAAAAAATTCCTAATATAATTATATTGATATTAATTAATTTATTATTTTAGTATATACTCTCTCCGTCCAGTTAGAAAGTATACATATTTTTATTTTGGGACGTCCAATTATAAAGTAAATATTTCATTAAATATCTCACTTTTTTCCACAAATACCATTACTTTACATCATATTATTACTTTTACACCAAAAAATAAGAGCAAAAATGTTATTACACTACTTTTAATTGCCTACTATAATTAAAATACTATTATTTTTTAAACATCGCGCCAAACATAAATGTTTATTTTGTATGTGGACAGAGAGAGTATATAATTTTAATAAATTTATTCACTTTATTTATTTTAATATAAATTTATATAATAAAATATATATATATCAGAATTATTAACAATATATATTTTGTTTTACCTTCATTTTGATAAGTTAATATACTTTATAAATAATATAAAAATATATAAAATTTTTAGTAATTTTAATAAGTTTAAATTTGTAAAAATCTTTTAAACAATTTTTTTTCGCTGTCATTTCCAATATATATATTATATATTCTTATACAAAAAGTCAACGTAGAACAAAATATATATATATATTATTTTTATATTAATGATACAACATGACAAAAATATAAACATATTAAATAATGCAATGATACATCAAATCTATGTATCATGACAAAAAAATGTTGTGTGTGTGAAATAAATAGGAGATTGGATTTTTTTTTACTATTTATTCAATTTTTTTCCTACAAAAATATCTAATTGATTTGGGTTTTGAGTTGAGATTTAAATAATAAAAATTTTGAATTTGAATAGTTGTATGATGTGATATAAATAGGTGTTAATGTGATGTTTTGAATGTAAAATTGATTTTTAGTATAATATAAAAAATAAAAAATAGGTATTTCCTTTGATGGTTTTTGGGGAAAAAAATAGGATAAATAGTGGATTAAAAATCTAATACCCAAACAAACACACCCTAATGTATTAATTTTTTTGGAAAGACAATGTGGAAAAAAAAATTAGAAGAACAAATCCTATAAAAATGATTGAATAAATTATTTTCCAATCACTATTTTATACATAAAGTAATAAAATGTTTTTTCTGCCAATTTTCGTTATAAAAGCTAAAATAATTGATAAAATAATTAAAATAATTAAAAAATATTTAAATATAATTAATGTTAAAACTTAAAAAGATAAGATAAATTGAAAATAGAACCCAATAAGCATGAGATGTAATTATCACTGAATAACTAACGTCTTCTAAGACATTTTACAGAAATTGATTAGAAGAAGAATGAGATGTCCGGCTCCGGCTCCGGCTCCGGCAGCCTCAACAGGCATGTCTTGACAATCCTCGACAAATGCAGTAACCTCGACCATCTCAGGCAACTTCAAGCCCATCTCACCGCACTCGGCCATGCCCGCACACATTTCTACGCCTTCAAGCTCATTCGTTTCTGCACTACTCGCCTTCGCAATCTTGCTTACGCACGCCGAATATTCGACAATTTCGCCTCGCCCAACATTTATATTTACACTGCAATTGTTCGCGCCTACACCCAAGTACCCGATCACCAATCGGCTTTACTACTATTCCGGGACATGGTCCGCGAAAATCGGTCCAAGCCGAACCATTTTATGTTTTCGATTATCTTGACATCCTGGCCAGAGTTTGATACGCGTTACGGGGTGCAACTGGTACAAGCCCAGATAGTGAAGACTGGTTATGGTGGGAACCCGGTGGTGCAGACTGCGATGTTGGACGCCTACTCTCGCTGGGGGGGCCACATCCTTGCTGCAAGGAAGGTGTTCGATGAAATGTCTGAGAAGAATGTGGTATCCTGGACTGCCATGATTTCGGGGTATACTAGAGCAGGGCAAATGGGGGATGCGGTTGCGCTTTTTGATGATATGCCAAAGGGTGTTAGGGACACACCTGTTTGGAATTGTGTTATTGCAGGTTGTGTGCAAAATGGGCTATTCTCAGAGAGTGTTGAGTTTCTTAGGAGGATGGTTGTCGAGGAGGGAATGAATAATAAGCCAAATCAGGGAACTATTGTCTGCGTGCTTTCTGCTCTGGGCCATGGTGGGTTGCTGCAGATTGGCAAATGTACCCATGGTTACATATATAGGAGTGGACTGAGTTCAGATTTGTTTGTTGTGAACGGGTTGATTGATATGTACGGGAAATGTGGGAGTTTGGAAAAATCAACTAGTGTTTTTGAGTTAGCTGTAGAGAAAAATTCAATGTGTTGGAATTCTTTGATAAATTGTTACGCTGTTAATGGTCGAACTCGTGACGCTATTCGTATTTTTGAAGAAATGCGGGATGGGGATGAAGTGGAGCCGGATGGAGTGACATTAGTGGGGCTGTTGAATGCTTGTAGTCACGGAGGGCTGGTGAAGGAGGGGCGCCATTATTTTGATATGATGATTAAGGAGTATGGAATAGAGGCTGAGATTGAGCATTACGGGTGCTTGATAGACCTGCTGGGGCGAGCAGGGCTGTTTGAAGAAGCTCTGCAAGTGGTGCAGGAGATGAGAGTTCCGGCTGACGAGGTTGTGTGGGGGTCGCTGCTCAATGGGTGTAAGATTCACCGGCGTGCGGATCTGGCTGAATTAGCCCTGAAGAAACTCGGCGAGATCGATCGTAATTCTAATAATGGGGGTGGTTATAGCGCAACAGTGGCTAATTTATACGGTGAAATTGGGCATTGGGAGGAGGCACATAAGTTGAGGAAGAAGACATTGCAGAGAGAAGGTGAGGAGGATTGTGGTTATAAGTATAAACCACCTGGGTTTAGCTGGATAGAATAGATGTTGATAAGAAAGACCATATACAAATCCCGTAAGAGATGACCTGGGGGGTTATGGGTTCAAACCCGACGCCTCCAGGTCCATCTGTCACGCATGGTTCGTCTAGTATGACTTGCCTTGTCGAATCTAGTTTACGGGGTATTACATTCTTCTGACGGTTTAGCCCGTGCACATTTTCGGGTAGCGGCGGATTCCTTCGTTATTTTAGAGGGCATCTCACTTCCCCTAAAGCCATTTTTATCCTAGGGCTGAAAATTTGGTACATAATAGAGCATCTATTGAGGCTGATGCAACAAGAAAGCTTGGACTTCTATTTTTGGGGAGATTCAACTTGGTATCTTGAGTCATGATTTTGTTTTGGGAAAAGCTTTGCTAGTCACCCGTAAGTTATACTTCTCTTTGCTCTTCATCTCGGTAGTGAATCATCATTGTTTCCTAATAAGATTTTAATTGTGTTGTTCCTGATTGTGCATATATATTACTGGTTTATGAGATTTAACTTATATTTATTTAAATTCTGCTTACTTTGAAGTTTGGTGACTTTTTAAACTGGAATTTGGTTTAAAATATGTGAGTTTTTTTACTTTTCAACTGTGTTGATTTCTCAGTTTTGGTTGATAATTGGACTTAACTTCTGTTAATAAGTCTTTTACAATTTACCTGATGCAACATCCTTTTGTTTGAGGGAACATCACATACCATCTCATCACTTTTTAAACAATACTGCATTTTTATTTTTTATTTTTTATTTTTTTTCTTTTTTTTCTTTTTTTTGTCATAACACAAATTTTATTTTGTCGTCAAGGATATCATATAACTGTATAATTGCATTGATTCAACTGTCCGGCCGCTACTGTTTTCACCCAGGAAGTAAGAGGCTGCCAGGCAGAGCATTTCAACCTTGCTGAACACGTTACTCTTGAACCCTCGAGCCGTGATCATGCTTGGGTTGTTGGTGGCTATCGTATGCCTAAAAAATAAAAACCCACTGCATAGAAAAAAAAAAAAAAAAAAAAAAAAAGCCTTTTAACTTAGGATATGCATAAACGTCGTTGAACACGCATGGTGTGAATGTTTGGACGTTTCGATTTTGAGTTGAGATTTGAATAGTAAAAATTTTGAATTTGAATAGTTGTATGATATGATATAAATAGATATTGATGTGATGTTTTGAATGTAAAATTGATTTTTAGTATAATATAAAAAATGAAAAATAAGTATTTGATTTGATGTTCTGGAAGGAAAAAATGGGATGAATAGTGTATTTAAAATCTAATCCCCAAAACAAACACAAATGTATTCATATTTGACAGCTTATATGCTACATGTTTTAATACAAAGATTAGGATCTAGCCGTAATTTAGAGTACCGACTGAGTTAAATCAGTGCTGATTTAATCATACTAACTTGAAGTAATTAGTATTTCATTATAAGACAAATAATATATGATCAACTTACACATTAACTTAAACCAATGAATATTTCATCACAAAATAAATAGCATATAATGTGTTATATAGAAATATGTGACGTGCTAGTTATATATTATCCTGAAATTAACATATATTGTGCTATATAAAATTATTGGTTAGTAGAAGCGTGTAAGAGTTTTTGACATTTTTGTCCATTGACTTTATGCATATGTAATGGTATATTTGTAATTTAAGTAAAAATTAAAGGTATTTTGGTATTAGTGTATGATTACTTTTTCTAAAATAGAAAATGAATATGAAGTGGAACAGACGAAAAATAATAAAAGGTACTTTGAATTATGATGAATGGATTAATATACTAAGTTATACTCCCTCCGTCCGTTAAGTAAATATCCGTTTGCTTTTTGCATGGAGTTTAAAGTATATTAGTATTATATTGATATGTAATAAAAATAAAGTTGAAATGACTAAAATAACCTTTTTAGTATTGTGTGATATAAAAGTAATGACATTTGTGTAATATATTGTAAGTTGTAAGACTATTTGTAATATTAGATAGATACTATAATTACTAAAAAAGAAAATAAATATTTTGTTATAGGACATATCAATATAGAAAAATAAATAGTTTGTTAAGGAAAGAGTATATTGTATTAACATTTGTTGTGTGATTTATATATTGTATTGTGTTGTATAATCTGCTTATTGTACTAGTGTTGAAATCAGAATATATTGTAATGAAATCATAATATATTATGCTGAATATTATTATATTATATGCTATCAAAAATGTGGTATATATTATATTAATATGTGTTTTTTTTTTTTAAATACACATGTGTGTTTTTTTTTTTTTTCTAATTGTATTATTGGTTGTAGCATGTATCTCTTTGTATCTCATCATTAGTTTGTTATGACTATATTTTCGCTACTTTATTTTTTCTTTAATTTACTGTTGGAACTTATCAGGAATTAAATTATAATATCAAGATCTATCGTGTTGAAATAATTAAGATAAGAAAATAAAATCTGATATGATTCCTTAGCGTAATCGATCTGCAAATTAATTGAGGGTATTGTGTTCTTCAAGCTTATGATGCAACTGTGACACCTCGGCCCGCAAGCCACGAGAAGCCGAGCATGTCAAGATTGCAGATTGGCCCCACAGGTCAATACGAGTCATTTGCAGCGCGCTTTGTCCCCACTCATGCGCACCCTGGGAGACTTCCTAGGGGGTCATCCATCCTCAAATTATTTTAAGACAAACACGCTTAACTTTAGAGTTCTTTCAGTAGGGCTCCCAAAAATGAATGTGCACATTGTTAACATGAATAGTCTATTCAATCTATCTGATGTTGGCCTAGCACTGACCTAATTCCGGAGGTATTACATCCTCCTTTACTTAAGAATGCAACGTCCACGTTTCACCCCCAAGGATCATCAACTGTTAGGCCCGTGCTCAGTCTGCAATCCCAACATGCTCAGTTTTGTGTGGTTTGTGGGTAGGGGTGTCACAGTTAGTATCAGAGCCGACCTGCGACAGCCCGCAGTCGTTGACTGGACTGAGGATGAGCCTAGCAGTTGATGATTCTTGGGGTGCAACGTGGATGTTGCATTCTTAAGTTGGGGAGGATGTAATACCCCCGAAGTTAGGCCGGTGTTAGGGCAACTCCCATGGATGAGCCAGTGCCAGGCTATCCGAGTTTGAATATAGATTAAATGGATTGAATAGACTACTCATCAACAATGAGCACATTCCTTCTTGGAAGCCCTATTGAAAGAACTCTAAGGTTAAACGTATTTGCCTTAGAATAATCTCAGGGTGGGTGAAAAATAGTTGATGTTGCGTCTAGACCTGTGATTACAACCCTAATTTATTTATATTATCCCTTATAATTAATTGACTTCATCACTCAATTATTAATTTACCGAGTTTTTGCACATATGAGACTCACATTTACTAAATACATTTAAGTTCAATAAATTTTAGAGATCACTTAATATAGATTTAATCTGACTGATAGCGCAATTAGTTACATTCAAACCATAATTGGATTTTTAATTCAACAATCTCTTGCTTGGGTAAATGTATCATATATAACTTTATGAGCTCATGAAATTTTTTCTATCAGATCCTTTAATATATTTTACTAATATTATATGTAAATCACATTAATATCGGATCAAAGGGGTCATCACTGCATTTATTACAATAAAATCGATCAGTGGTCACACTATTAATATAACTTAATATTCATTTAAATATGGATGCACAACATGAAAATTTCTTGTAATGTGATCTTAACATACCTATTTTCATCTAATCCACGTAATTTTAATTCAGAATAACTGAATACTTAATATTGAACATTAATACTAAACATTGTATATTGAACATTGAATACTAATCAATGTAGTGTAAACCAAAATAACTTCAATAGCATTCAGACATTATTGACCAGCTCCCAATAAATCAAAATATCAAAATACGGTTTTACTCTCATACGAGCAATATTTTCATTATAGAACTTAAATGAAAACCATTTAGTAATTAAATGGATCTACAATCATAGAAGTTGTATGAATATGTTAAATAACTAATTCATTATATTACAGTCACATTATTAAGTAAACAATGTTTATATTATTATCAAATAATGTACTTGTTTAAACCGATTTTGAATTTTAGAATAAACTAAGACTTTATTTATGAATGGATAATAATAACCGAATTTGTCCAAAATATAAATTGAAACCGAATTCTGTCTAAAGATGGTACCAAAAAAATATATCATCCAAATTTAAATAATAACCATTACTTAATAATAATCTAAAATTGTCAATGACTTAAACTTAAACTTTCTTTCCGTTAGTTACGTAGATGTATCTTTCACCGTCAATTGATTTTCAGCAATAAAGATAATTTTAATGTTGCACAAAAATACATGCACAAGTATGTCTATTAACTGGAATTAAACTAATTTCAGAATAAACCAAAGTAAGAAAAGTATATCTCATTATGCGTCATTGATGAGAGCAAGATCATTAGGGTCAATATGTCCTCCAAAATGGTCTAACTTAATTGTCCTTAATTTAGAAGTATTATTAGACATATTTAAGATGTATTATTCTATGTTACCTTTGTCGTTATTATATTTCATGGCAATGAGACTCTTGAGAAGAGTACTCATTTTTGTTTTATCACTTTTGGTATAGCGTTTCTTAATTTCGACGAGGAATCCATTGACAGTAGTGATATCATCATATATCGTACCCTGAAAGATTTTGGAATGCTTTTCTTAATAATCATTAGCCTTAGACGATTGGACCTATTCTACTTCTCAAACAACCACTTTTCATCAGCAGTGTTTTCCGTCGTAAGAGAAGTAGGTTGGTTTGTTCTTAATGCCAAGTTAAGATCCATGCAGTCCAAATGAAATGATATTGATTTTTTTTTTTTGGTGCTTAAAGTTATTCTCAAACAGTGTTGGGACCAAATAAATATACACATAAATACTCACAAAGCATAATGTTAGTTATATTTATTTACTTTTACTTTTATTTCTTATGTAAAATCGTAAATGCAGTTTTTTATTTATGGTGTGATTGTTTTGTGAAATATTTTGAAGAGATATTTTTTTAAGGTATAAGAAATTATGCATATAATATAAAAATAATGAATGTTTGTGATATATTAATTTTTTAGTCTATATATTTATTTTCTACAAAATTTATATACATAAGAATAATAATAATAACTAATAAAAAATATAAAAATAATTTGATATATTGAATGATAATATAATAAAAATTATAAAATTTAAAAAATAATATACAAAATAGTAGTATCATATATGTTACGATATTTCTATATCATTAATAATTATATATTATTTATTAATATTACCTATATTTTATAAAATATAATAGTAATATATAATAAATATATTATAATTGTAAAATTTGGGTTTACATAAGTTTATATAGTTATATAAATCAATAAAAAAAATATTTTACAATTCTACAAAATTCATATAAATCCATAAATAAATCCAATCAAATCTATAAGAATGCATCTAAATTAATTAATAAAATTCATCAAACTACGCTTTCTAAATTCACATAAATTCATAAACTTTTTAAAATAAAAACAATCCAATGAAATTCCTAAATGAATACACCTTTAAATAAAAATGTCAAATAATAAATTTTTTCATATTATCTTTTCTTTTTTTTTTTTTTTTTTTTTTTTTTGTCACTTTACAAAAAATTATATATTTTTACTGTAAAATAGTATAATAAAAATTTGAATAAAATAGAATTGAATAACAATTAAGATTGAATATAATTTTTTTTAAAAATTTTTTAAAGAAAAATAAAATTAGTAAATAATAGAAATATAAGTATATTGTAAATTTCACCAACATTTTCTCTGTTCCAAATGTGATAATTTGATTTGTTCGAAATATGGATAAATTCCATCTACGTTTTCTCACTTCCTGTCATAATTTGATTGGTTAGAAATATGGGATTTTATGCCCCTCTATTCTCTAGTTACGATGAGTATAGCATTAGCGTAGTAGCATAGCGTTCATAGATTATATAGATTAGTGATATGTCATTACAATTATAATTATAATCGTATCATTTCCATCGAAGTCCAAAGACAATGATGGATGTGACGTTTATTAATTGATTTGATTAATCTTATTAATTCAGCAATAAGTACATGAATGTTGACCGGTTCTTGCTTCGTCTGCCCAAGATTAGAGCCTTCTTCCTCCCATTCCCATTACCATCTCTTGCCTTCCAAGTTTAGCTTTTCTGCATCTGGCAATTGATCCGTCTTTCATTTATTTATTTGCGTTCCACTTGTTTTTATCTCTAACGATTCCCTGCTCTCCTCTCCTGGAATTCCCTGCTCCTTCAGTCAGATATTTGAGTAAAGTTTTACGATTCAGAAAATCGGCAGAATAACCAGGGAATTAAGGGACAATGGGTGCGGATGAAGTGGGTGGATCGATGCGAAACGCGACATCAACAGCAGCGGTAGAGGCAACCCCGTATTATTTTTCATCAGTTTCAACCAACTATCCATTAATTTCCGCTCTTCTTGCCTTTGCTATTGCCCAGTCATCTAAGTTCGCCGCTTCATGGTATGTTTTCTTCCCGATTGTGATTTTGATTTTGATTGTGATTATGATTGTGATTGTGATTGTGCTTATGTAGTAATGTATGCCTGGTTCGAATTCGATCGCCCTGGATATGAGCAATTCATTTTAACCAAAACATTTGCAATTGCAGTTGTCTTTTATTCGCTACTGGTTTCTTGTTTATGCCCTTGTGCAAGTGCTTGTGCGTGTTTAATATCATTCTCTTTACTGATTACTGTCAAGAAATTTTTTTTTTCTTGGTTAATATTAAATGAATGATTTGATAATTCAGATATCATTCCCTACTCTTCCATATGTTTCTGAATTTATTACTCAAAACTAACTAGAATGACACTTTAAATTCAATCTCACGCCATTGAAATGTAGGGAGTATTTGGCATAGGGAAATGGAGCAGAGAAATGAAAATAAATCTATCTCCCTTGTTTGTTTGGACTTGAAAATTGAAGATTGAGGAACAAAATTATTTATGAGTTCTTTATTTGTTTGGACTTGAAAATTGAAGATTGAGGAACAAAATTATTTGAGTTCTCTATTTTCAATTATCTCCTATACGTGAAGAAATAGAGATTGTTAAAAGATATATTTAGAATATATATATCCATATTATATTATGGTAATTTGTAGGATTCTTGTCTAGATACGGGAAGAAATAGAGATTGTCAAAAGTTTATTTAAGAGTTTTGTAAGATTTTTGTTTTATTTAGACGATATTTATATCTCATTATAAGTATGTACTAGTTCTTATGATTGAAGAAAATTTCAGTTCATATTTTAATATGGTATCAAAGTTAAATTCTTTCTAAATACATCCGTGATCTGTTATATTGTTTTTATATTTTATCGATGCATATGCTTATACCCACGGTCATGCTGTCATTTTTATGCTATCTCCATCTCCGCCATTTCGATATTCACGGACTGACTTCCGCTTTCTATTATAACTTCATTGAAAGTCCTTTTTTCGATTCTAATTCTATTAAGAGCGAGCGAGTCCTGTTTTCAACTCTGGTTTTGTTGTGAGCGAACGAGCTCTGCTTTCGACTCTAGTTCTGTTAATAGTGAGCGAGTCTTTTGTTTTTTATTTTAGTTCCGTCGTGAGCGATAAAGTCTCGTTTCCAACTCTAATAGTGTTGAGAGTTCTATTTCCGACTCTGATCCAGTGGATGATAACACCACTTTCGCAATCTTGAAAAATTCAAGCTCGTTCGTGGAAGATTTCAACTACATCACTTTCGATCATTTTTGGAAAACTCTAGTTTGTTTGTGTTATACTGTGAGTTTTGAGAGAGGGTGCTAAGATATTTTTATAAAATACTCCCTCTGTCTGTTCGTAAGGATTACATTTACTTTTTGCAGGTTGATATTTGAATATTAATTATTATATAAAAATGAAGTACAAATTATAGAAAAATGGCAAAAATAATTTTTTTAGTGTTTTATAATACTAATATAATGATATTTGTATAAAAAAAAAATATAAATATAAAAGTATTTTTAATGTTAAATACAATGACGCAAAATGCAAGCGTAACTCTTGCAGGCGGACGGAGGGAGTGTATTATATTTATAGCAATTGTCTTATTTAAGAGATTTATAGGATTTTTGCCTTATTTAGACGATTTATCACTATAAATATATATGAGTTGTTATGATTGAAATAGAAAATTTAAATTTTATATACTGAGATAATTATCTATGATTAAAAAAACACCAGAGATTTATCTAATTTTCACTTTTAATTTGACACTCAAAACCCTCTTTGATCATTTTCCTCCCAAAATTTCTTCTCCATTGCGGTTGCTTCAATCACACTGTCTTACCCAATCAAAGTGTTTTGTGAAAAACTTTATTTGATTGATCAATTTATAATGATAATTGATTATATATATTTACCTGTTAAATTATCTCTTTTACCAAATAAAAGAACCAATTCTCATTCTCCTGTATAATTTTCTTTTTCTGCAATTTCATACTTTGCTATAATTTTCTATGCAATTCCGTGTTTCTTGAAATGCGAAGACATCAATCCTGTCTTGAGATATGAACTAAACTAATCACATGACCTCAAACTGGGAGTTTGCTTGATTGTTTGAGGGTTGAACTTAAGACTTAATTGAGAAATTTTGAGAAGACAATTCTTGTATTGATCAATTTAAAATATAGAGTTGCAGGGATATATATATATATATAGATATATATACTCTATATATATATATATTTACACAGAGAGGAATTTCTAACTAATTCCTAACAAACTAGCCAACTGTACATAAGAGTTGCCCAAAGAGAAACAAATGAGAAGTGTACAAAGCTCAATTGCTGTTCATCGTCTTCAACCTTTGCACTCGTCCTCCTCTTAGGAATCTTGACATACCCCGTCGAGCCCAGCATGCCTATGCATAGCTTTGAGCAAAGAATTTTGAACATAGTACCGCAAAGAGCCTTAGTGAAGATGTTAGCTATCTGTAGTTTACTCCAAACATGAATCAAAGAAATGAAACCTCTCAAGAAGTGATGCCTAACAAAGTGGCATGCAATCTCAAGGTGCTTTGTTCTTCCATGGAACACAAGGTTCTGTGCTTCCTGCAAACCAGATGGATTATCAGTGTAAAGCAATAGATTGTGAAACCTTACCCTACATTCTTTCTTGGCCTTCCAAGAGTTAAGTTTGGAACCAAGGAAGAAACAATAACCAGTTATGGATTTCCTTGAATCCGGACAATTCCCCCAATCTAAATCACGCTAGGCTTCTAATTGCGATGATTTTGTTGGATCAACTTTCAAACATTGGTTCAGAGTTCCTTTTAGGTACCTCAAAAGGTTAGTGGCAGCTTTCCAATGTGCAGAGGTTGGCTTTCCCATAAATTGACTTAGCTATTGGGTAGCAAATGCCATGTTAGTTCAGGAAAAATTCAAATACAATAGCCTTCCAATTAATCTTCGATATTGTGATGGATCAGCCAGAGGTTCACCATCATGTGTGGAGAGTTTCAACCCTGCTCGTGTAGGAGTAGAGGTGGCTTTCGCTTCCAGTATTTTCATGTCATCAAGGATTTTAAAAATGTAATGTCTTTGTGAAAGAAGCATCCCATCTGATACCTGCTTAATTTTTGAGCCAAGGAAATAACTTGCCTCTCCCATATTCTTTATTGTGAAGGCTTGATGAAGATGATCTTTTGTTTCATGAATAAGTTTTGTAGATAATCCTGTTTGGAGTATGTCATCAACATAAATTGTTAATACTAACATATTTCAGAGTCTTGATGCTTAATAAACAAACAATGGTTATGCGTGGATTTTTTGAAGCCAAATTCAAACATCTTTTGTTTGAGAGTTTTGTACCACACATAAGGGGCTTGCTTAAGTCTATAGAGGGACTTCTTCAATCTGCTAGCATGACCTGATGCAGCTGAGTATCCAGGTGGTGGATTGATGTATAACTCCTCCTCTAAGGTCCATGCCAGAAAGCATTCTTAACATCTATTTGCTGCACCATCCAACCTTTTGCAGCAACCACAGCCAAAATTAATCTAACCGTGGCACTTTTTGCTACAGGTGCAAAACACTTCAAAATCTACACCATGTATTTGAAAATAGCCTTTTGCCACCAACTGTGTGCCTTGAATCTGTTGATTGAACCATCCTTGTTCCACTTGACTCTAAACACCCATTTACAACCTACTGCCTTCTTCTCTTCCAGCAAAGATGTGAGTTCCCATGTTACATTAGTTTCAAGAGCCTTAAGCTCTTCATTCATAGCAGCAACACACTGGCTTGCTTGCTGCCTTCTCATAGGTAAAAGGCTCTATGACAGACTCTTCACTAACTTGCTTTTACTGATTTGTGCCGTGTACAAACATAGTCTTTCATCCAGCTAGGTTCTTCAAATTCTCTGAACTCTAGCATGTAGTTCTGAGGTGTTTGGAAGTATCTCAGGAGAATGTTACCTGTGCATTATCAAGGTTCCTCCCTCTGAGCTAGGTGAACACACTGTTCCTTAGTAGATTTTGTTGCAGTTATGGGAGTATTCTCTTGTGATAGATGATAAATACTACCTTTCCATCACCACTTGATGTTGATATAAAGCAGTTCTAAGGAGATTCATGAACCTCTTCAAAGATGGGAGAATAATAGGTTTGAATCTTTGAAGTAACATTCTCTATGTCACAATCTGCAGAGATCCCTGAAAATGTATCTTCATAAAATACAGCATCCCTGTTCATAATGATTTTCTGAGAGTGAAGATTAAGAATTTTACACCCTTTTGATCCATGCCAGATCCCACAAATAAGCCTTTGACTGCTCTCTTGTCCAGCTTAGTCTTGTGTGGGTCATTTTTGCTCATATCCCACAAATAAGCCTTTGATTGCTCTCTTGTCCAGCTTAGTCTTGTGTGGGTATTTTGGAGGGCATAGTGGAGATATCCAAAATTTCTCAAATGAAGCGCATTGGGCTCAGTAACATATAAGAGCAGATGAGGTGATCTCTATTTCAGAATTGGTGTGGGAAGCAAATTGATGAGATGTGTTGGCAAGTAGTGCATCACCCCACATGGATTCAAGCATATTAGAATGGAACAATGAGGACCTCATGATCATTACAAGATGCTGATGTTTCCTCTCAGCTCTCCCATTTTGCTGAGAAGTGTAGGCACAGTATTTTGATACATAATTCCATGACTTGTGCAGAAAAGTTTGAAAGCCATGACTTAAGGATTCTGCATCATTGTTAGTCCTTATGCTCTTAATTTTAGTATTCAACTGAGTTTTAAGGAGGAGAAAACATTAAGAGCTTGTGATTTCATTCTTACCTAGAGCTGTAAACGAGCCGAACCAAGCCGAGCTTGTCCTGTTTAAATTCGGCTCATTAAAGACTCAAGTTCGACTCATGTTCGTTCGTTAAGAGATATTAGCTGAAATTTTTGTTTGACTTCAACTAGTTTAGCAATTTTTGTTCGTGTTCGACTCGTTAAGAATTTTTTATTTTGTTTATTTTATTTTTTTAAATATAAATTAAATATATATACTTATAATAGTATATTTATTTATTAAATATAAAATTATTGATTTAATTTTTTTAATAAATATTGTCGAACGTTCGCGAATCGTTCGTGAATATTACGAGCTAAAATTTATATTTGTGTTCAGCTCGTTTAGCTTAATAAATGAGCTCTTAACGAGCTCAAACGAGCTGAACCGAACTAAGTTCGCAAACTGCTTATTTGTTTTACAGCTCTATCTTTAACAGGTATGTTCATGTTGATCAGCTGTAGTCATCCACTATAGTTAATAAAAGCTACTACCATTGATAACATAATGCTATTAGATGAATCAGCTCAAAACAACAAGCAACATAAGAGATACTTTTATTAAAACACAACTTCCTTTGCTTTGCATCAAGGGATGTATCGCGAGGTTTGTTACAAGCAATGAACTCAGACACATAAGGGATGTGTGCCAAACCTTATGAGATGGATGTCCTAATCTATCATGGCAAGAACATTCCTTAACAGCAACTAAAGCTTCAAAGCTAGGTTCCGCCACCAAGTGATAAAGATGTCCCTTCAACTTGCCTGCATGTGTACTTTTGACACTGCCACAGGAAGGTGTATTTTAGCAGGAGAATCCATCAACTGTTCTTACTGTCATTGGTATTGATATTCATGCATTCATTACCTGAGTGCTCAATCTCCAGCATGTTGAGATGGTCAAGGGGTATCTTCATCTTTTCAAATGCCTTTTGGATCTCTCCATCTTGTGTTATTTCAGTGAGTGCATCAGGTGACCATGCCAAGCCACCTGCCGAAGTTCCACCATCATCACCAATTTGCAGGACAGTTCACCTTGTTGGCTTCCCCACATTTCCTTCTTATTGTTCTGAATGGCCTTGAGCCAGTCAGGTGTTCCATGAAGTTTAAAACATGTTTCCTTGGTATGCTCAGACTTCTTGTAGTGCTCACACACTAGGCCTCTCTTATCAACCTTTTCTTATAAAAAAACTTGGGGCCAGCCTTATGCGAACACGTGAGAACTATGGGATTGGAGTAATGAACAAGACCATGGATCTCTTGTAGCTTTTCAACACCAACCAGCATCCCATATATCTTGTTAAGAGAGGCATCCAATCTAGCATCAAGATTTGGCTTTGTACATCAAATGTATCATTTAACCCCATAAGATACACTAGGATATCCTGTCGATTAAGGTACTATCCACTGCCTTCCTATCTTCAGGAACAGGGGCAAGACAATACAATTCATCCTTTAATTTTTTCATTCTAGTAAAATAGGCAAACATGCTCATGGTTCCTTGAGTCATACCTGAAATCTTTCTTTTTAGCTAGTAAACAAGTGGGCCGTTGCAGTGTCGATGCTTCATTTTCAACAGGTTCCACAATTCATAGCTGGTGTTCACATAGCCGAGTACATAAGGGAGATCGAATTTAGCAGCCATCTTAGTGTCACGGGTTGACAGTTTCATCCTATGTTCTCGGCTATAGTCCGTCCCATACGTTCGAACCCTTTGTCCCTGTATGGTGGATTAATGGCCTATATCTTGGTGTAAGTATCTGTTTCGCATATTTCTCCCATATTATATGGTATACCTAAGCTTAGTGGCAGCTTCTGGACACATTGCATATGGTATTAGAGCAATGTTGACGGTGGTGATGATTAAAGTGAACGGTTTGAGTTGTGCTCTGCGGGAGAGTATTGCTAGCAGCACGTTATAGGGCGAGCTTGTCCAAACGGAGATGGACATTTCAGGGGGAGTGCTCCTTGAGGGAAGAGGTAGGGGGACTGCTATTTGAGAGAAGAGGTACGCTCGATGGTGTAGTTGTGCCAAGGTGGAAGACCTTTGTTTGTGAAGGAAAAATCACGTTAAGGACGATCTAAGGGGCAAACTTTGCAAAGCGCAACAAGTGGTGTCCCGGATGGTGTACGAAGATGAGCGGCATAATGAGCTACTTGTGGGTCGGCTATGGGAAATTTCGCTGACATTGGGTGGGCACAAAAAGGTATGGAGGAAAGAGTCGGCGAATTGATGCCTGGAAGAATGCCAAGGGTGCGGGAAGCAACGTCGGTGTACTCAAATAGCGCCGCACAAAGGACATTTGCGACTTGAGGTGGGGGAGTATTGTCACCGTTCGACAGTTTCGCCTAGGTTTTTGGCCATAGTCTGTCCTATAAGTGCGAGCCCCTTGTCCCTATATGGTGGATTGATAGTTTTTCCATACTATATGGTATATCCAAGCTTGTTGCACATAGGAGACGGTTGGTCTGAGCCTCAGAGTGGGTGGGGTTTAGGCGCCCGGTGTGTCAGCTTCCGGACACGTTACACTAAGATCATACCTCCTCATTCCTGAGCTCTTGTCCCTGTTTTGTATCTGACTATCTGCCTCATTTCCCTTAGCTGATAGAGCATGCAAGACCCCTACTTTGAAGGAGAGAGTTCCCATTGGTAAGCAAAGTGGTAACAACTAACAAGGCTCATTCCGGATTGATCGGCAGACAATGATAACTCCAGCTGCGCCATTGAAGTTTTATGTGAACCACTGGTTGTTGCAGAGCTCCTTGCGGTGGAGGAACGCATCTTCAATGAAGAAGCGTTTCTGGAATTAGTGGCCATGGTGAATCAGATATTAATAGATTGCAGAAGCAAACGTAGGAAAAACTTAAGAAGCAGTGGAGAAACTGCCACAGACTTAATGCTCTGATCCCATGAGAAATTTTGAGTAGACAATTCTTGTATTGATAGGAATCTTTAACCAATTAATAACAAACTAGCCAGCTGTACATAGATTGGGCCAAAGAGAAAAAAATTACAAGTGTAGAAAGCCCAATTGCTGTTCGCCTTCTTCAACCTTTTCCATAGTCTTCCTCCTATGAGGAATCTTAATTAATATTCTCTGCTTATGCTTGCCAAGATTATTTTTTAACTTTAAACTTTTAACGCCATTATACTCTTGTCATTCAGGTATAAAGAAAAACGATGGGATCTCAAGCAACTTGTTGGATCAGGTGGTATGCCATCATCCCATTCAGCAACAGTAACTGCACTTGCAGTGGCTATTGGTCTGCAGGATGGTTTTGGGGGATCACTATTCTCAATTGCAGTAATCTTTGCACTTGTGGTATGATCCCTTCTATTGCCTTTTCTCTCAACTGTGCCATCTTTTAGTTAAAGAAACCAGTGTTGGCCATTGTGTGAGATTGCAACAAAAATTGTGCCTTGTTTTCATTGATCTGTCATTTCTGGAAATATTTATCAGCTGGGTAGTTCACATTGACCTGAAATTTCAGGCTTTTAGTTCTAATGGTGTCAGGTGCAAGGCACATTAACTATAAGACTAACTTATTTTAATATAGATAACACACACCTGCTTGCACGTGCACACATATATGCAATTAATACAACAATCCTCAACTAATCATACAAACATCTTATTACTAAAAATAAATCAAATGCCCAGTAGTCTTAAAACACAAATAGGCATATTTCAAAACATAAAAATTCTTTTTTCATCCAAGTCTATATTATCACCATTCGCATTTTTGGATTTATGCTTGCCATTGTTATTGTCATCAAGCTCTTCAATCTCAATGTCTTCCTCCTCATTGTCATCAACTAATCCAGATTCTTCTGTGTTGTGAATCTCTAGAACTTGATGAACCTTCTTTTGATCCTTATGCTCAAAAATTAGATATTGAGATGGAAAGAGTAGCTTGCCTTAGTAGGTAATTGATCATATGTGACGAGATAGGTGGAGGTGGGGTGGCGGGAGGCTTGAGAGACTGGAGGAAGCAATGAGAGGGCAAAAGAGGCAAAGATATGAATAAACCAGGAGGACAAAGGCAACAAGCAGTAGAGAGTCATACAGAAGATAAAATATTAGACTGCCTGCATTTTGTTTTTTAAGATGAACCCAAAATATACCCTATTACCCCATTAAGTAATTATTTATTATTAATAAAATTATGTTACAGTTTGCACCTGGGCAAGGTGCCTAACCATAGGTAATGGGTGCAGAGTCTGCGCCATTAATAACACTGATTACTAGTCATCCTACAAAAAGATGGGAACAGTATACTGGAGTTTCTTTTTGAGGAAGATACTTATTAGCATACCTAGCTTATATAACCAGCCAAATGAAGTAGATGACATGAAGAATGTTCCTGAAGTCACCTGAATATCTAGAAAAATCTTCGGAAATGAATTTCCGTTGTATGTCATTTCCTTTATTCTCAAGAAGTTGGTCACCTACTTTTGTATTGAATATTTCTGTTTTTGAGTAGCTATTGTGCAACTGGTAGACAAACACGCTTAGTTTGATTATCTCGAGTCTTAGTGATGTTTTATCTAATTGCTGTTCCTAAGAGCATGGTGTTCTTATTTGTGACAGGTGATGTATGATGCAAGTGGAGTAAGGTTGCATGCCGGACGGCAGGCTGAGGTTGGTACTTCTATTAAGTGGAAATTATATAGCTGCTTGTCCAGTGCAGACCCCATGTCTAAAATTTACGTGTGCATTCTATATAATACTTACGTATTCTTTTGAGCCATGCTATGTGCTGTCTGGGAAAAATCTAACGAACTCAAAATCTCAGGTTTTGAATCAAATTTTATGTGAACTTCCTTCGGAACATCCTCTTGCTGAGAGCAGACCCTTACGCGAACTTCTTGGTCACACGCCTCCTCAGGTTCAATGTTTATGCTTTCTATCTGAAAAAAGATTTGTTTGAGGAATTACATAAAACAGTCAACTGTTTTTAGTTAGGACTCTGGGATTAGATTCAATAAATTCTTACCTTATTCTTGTCCCTTTTTTGTGCACTCCTTGGAATATTCCATGATGTTAGCGCAGTCTGTCTTGTCTGAATTATGGCGACGAGGATACATTGTCTGCTGCAGTTTAAGAAAATTACATGAAATGCGTTGGCTATTTAAACTGGGATTGATTGACTATATCTATCTTATATGTGTTTCAGGTGGTTGTTGGAGCAACCCTGGGACTTTTTTTGGCGGTAGTGGTCGATTTTGTCCGTGATTTGTTTAGTGAAACCTGATGTGGCTCGAAGGCCATGCATTGATTCTGGTACGTCCATGAAACACACTATACAGATCTGGAATAACCCAAGTGATTTTCATCAACCCATTAGGCTGGATAAATTTAATGGTGTAATTGAGCGGCATTATGAAATGTAAATTGCAAAGGTAGCTGCTTGTAGAGTAGAGGCAAAGCTAGCTAGCTAGCTTTCTACATGATTAATTTGGTTGTATGGAATCACTAACTAACTATTCCTGGCTGTGGTATAGTACAAGTCCTCTATCATTTTTATTGATAACTTCATTTTATCATCATGGAGGACTCACATATGTCAAATGGTGGGTAGGAATATAATAGTGTAGATCCAAATATTCACCCCGCACTTACTACTTGCATTTGCATTTCTGTGTGCAAATCAAGGTTGTTCCGGCGAAGATTTAGGTACGGCGCTGTCTGAAATGACGACAATATGGCAATACGACGACCTGCTTATTATAATTTTTAATATTCAATTATACAATATGAAATTATAACATCAAATCACTAAATTTTAAATAAAATATTAAAATACCAAAATATCAAAATATTGAACATAACTATCAAAATACTAAATAACTAATATGTCGAAATATGAAAGTTTCACCACACCAAAAAATCAAAATTCCTTAAATTTTCAAATTAATTAGTCTTCAGTATTCATATAATTATCTTCATCATTTTCGTTATCCCCATTTACCAAACGTTTGTTAGAAAGGCTATGGCGACGGTCATACACAATAGGCGGACCTGAGGATTCACCAACACTTTACTACGAAAGTTGAAATTATTGAGATTACTTGAAGCACGGCTTCATCAACATGATGCCACTCAAGATCTCTATCTTTATGAACAAAATCTCGAGAATCATCAACTCATTCATTGTTCCATTGAAATTCTTCAAGAATTAAGGGATTAAAATTGCTTCCTTCTTCCTGCCGCTTTTGAAAGTGATGTGCAATCTTCCGATTATATTGAATATACACCAGATCATTTAGCTTTTCGTGCTCTAGGCTATTTCTTTTATTGGTATGAATCTAGAAATAAAACTTTATATCAAAATTTGAAGATTAATACTAAAATATTAATATAAGTACATTTCGAATAAATTTACTTACAAATTCAAATGTGCTCCAATTGCGCTCACAACCGGCAGAAAAGCAACATAGACTAATAGTACATACGACAAGTGATCGAAGTTCTTCGTTGTCACCACTATATGCATCCTATAATCAACTAAAATATAGATATAAAAAAGAATATATTCAATATTTGAAATTAATTTTCATAGAAAATAAATATATATATATTAAAAAAACTTATGGAGACTCTTTTGCATTTGGTGCTTGATTGCCAATTGACGGCCAAAGTTTTCTCGAATTTTATCGCAATCATATGCTTTGACCACTAATCTTATTCATCAACTCTTTATCTTTAATCATATTTTCTAAAACATCATTAAACAACTGATGTTGCTTACGAGCAAATACGGGATCACTCATCTTCAATTCAAAATATTTTAAAGGATTTAGGAATAGTGCAGCCTCATATAACTTCACCTCCATTTGATCGCTCCATCGATCTTCAATTATTTCCATCAACTTGGTCAACAACCTTGTTTTGTTATTGGTCGTAAAAGATTCAGTTATTTTATTCTTCGCGTGATTTAGCCGAATAAAGCTCAGGCATGACTGGCTTTTCATTACACCATTAACTATCTTGAAAACAATAAAAATAGGAAGTGTTGCTTGTAAACAATCTTCTACCTGATCTTAAAATCTCTATGAAAGAATGGTTTCCATCACCTTTTTGCCTTGTGACGTTTTTGACAACTTATTATCACTCCAATCATCACTAACAAATAGCCGCCTCAATTCATTCCTATATTTGTTTAAACTCTACAGAGTGAGAAATGCGGTAGCAAATCGGGTAATCGCCAACCTCACCAGATCTCTGTCACCGGTCTTTCCTCTGATTGCACTGAAAATTCTCCCATGTTGATAAATAAAAGTTGTGACATCCTTAATATTTTTAATGTAGGGTTTAAATTCATTCATTTTCCTAATGTCTTCTAGCATGAGATCTATACAATGAGCTTGGTGTCCAAAAAAGACCAGGAATGCGCTGTTCTAATAATCTTTCCGCCATTTTATAATTTGCTCCATTATCCGTTACAATTTGCACAACATGCTTCTTGCCAATTTTTTCAACCTTTTTTTTTTCAAGCAGGTCAACCAACATTCTTGCATCATGTGACTCAGCTGATGGATCAATAGACTCAAAGAAAAAGGTCCCCTCTGGACTATTGACAAGAAAATTTATCAAGTATCGCCCTCTTTTATCCGTCTACCCATCTGACATAAGAGAACACTCATATTATTTCCAAGCTTCCATGTGCCCTTCTTTCAATTTATTTGTTTCATTTACGGCATCTCAAGAAATGGTTCCCGCAACTGATGATAACTAGTAGGTCTCAAACCGGAATCATATTGTCTGATAGCCTCAACTATAATCTCGTAACTTCTTAATTTGGAAGCATTGAATAAAATGTCATTTTCATAGAAAAAATTGGCAATACGCCTTTGCACTTCTTTTGTTTCTTATTTTTTCTTTTGTAGAAGCTTCGATAGTTTTCTGAACATAACCACCCATATGTTTTTTTTCAACGATCTCTTCAGGAGTCTTTCGAATCATTGCAGCAATTGACTTACTTTGTTTTCCAACTCTCGGAGGTTCAGAAAACTTTAAAGTTGATTGAGTCAACTTTCTTTTGCTACTTGTTCCTGAACTTGAATGCACTGAAGGCTTGGAAAATAAATTCGTAGCACCATTGGGTTGATTTTCTTCTAATTCCTCATTGTCTTTAGTATCTTCAAAATAATCGAATTCGGTAGTACGATGCTTTATTATCATTGTTTTGCTCATAAATTGATGTATTTCCTTACGAATTTCTTATATAGTGTTAGGGCACTTAACAACGTCACTTTAGCTCCCAACTAAATGTTGTTTTAATCTCTTGACTCCATAATGCATTTGTCTATAACAAAAAAACGCATTCAATCAAATCTTTAATATTCAAATCTGACTAAAATCCGTGCTTCCATCATGATGATTTGGCCATTTTTGCCAGATCATTTGATAAATCTTAGACATTTTTGTTATCGACCATTAATTTATAATTATTAAAAAAAAAAAAAAAATAAAATTGATAAGTAATAGATCAATCATTAAAACATGAATAAAATAAATATAAAAATCAAACATAGTTAAAAATAAAATCAATAACATAAAATAAATTAAATTAAAAATTATAAAAAAAAAGACGGCCTACCAACCGATAAAAAATAAAATAAACAAAGAAATATCTTACAATATCTCTATCATTCACTATATTATATATATATATATATATATATTATATAGGACTTGTCTTTACTAATATATATTATATATATACTCGATCAACAACAAGCCACAGACCCACAACAGTAAAATGCTGCAATGTTGTACTTTGAACTACTCTGCATTATATACTAATATTATATTATATAACTTAGTATACTATCGTGCAATACAATATTATATCTTATAAATACGAGTTTGTACGGATCTGCCACTTGAAAAGTCTATTTTACCCCTCATTTTTAAAAAATGACAATTTAGCCCTTAGCCTACCTTTGTACTGGCTTGAAAAGACGTTTTGGAACCGTCGTCAACCGCCCAAGACGAAACGTTTCGTCTGGTCGGTTACATCAACCGCCTCGCCAAACGCCTCCACCAGTTCCAGAACTAAAATAGCCCAACCGACCAATCCAGAGACCAATCGGTAGACCAAAAGACTCCTTGGCCGCACCCACCAAGCGACCTGTCTATCCGCCTGCGGACCAGCTGACTTGCCTATGCGACCGCAGACCAACCGACCTACTTTATCCGACCGCAGACCATCAGAAATGTCTGTCCGACCTTTTGACCCATCAGACCTGTCTGTCCGAACGCTAACCATCCGACCGAGGACCAACCGACCAGATCAACCGACCGAGGACCTTCTGACTTGCCTATCCGACCGCTAACCAACCGACCTGATCATCCGACCGAGGACCAACCGACAGACCAACCGACCGAGGACCTTCCAACCTGCCTATCCGACCGCTAACCAACCTACCTGACCATCCGACCCACCGACCTGACCAACCGACCTGAGCGCAAATTTTTCTCCTTTTCCACCCAACTTCGTGTCTAACTTCCTTTAGATCCTGCTATCCTTATTTTTATTATTATTATTATTATTTGTGGGTAACAATTATCAAAGTTGAAATATCCTTACTATTTTTGACATTTCAAAACTCAAAGAGATGCAGGGTCACCCTTCTTATCTCAGTCTATCCGCCTGCGGACCAGCTGACTTGCCTATCCGATCGCAGACCAGCCGACCTACTTTATCCGACCGCAGACCATGAGACCTGTCTGTCCGACCGCTAACCATCCGACCGAGGACCAACCGACCAAGGACCTTCCGACCTGCCTATCCCATCGCTAACCAACCGACCTGATCATCCGACCGAGGACCTTCTGACCTGCCTATCCGACCGCTAACCAACCCACCTGACCATCCGACCAACCCACCTGACCAACCGACTTAAGCACAAATTTTTCTCCTTTTTCACCCGACTTCATGTCTAACTTCCTTTAAGATCCTGCTATTCTTATTTTTATTATTATTATTATTTTTTGTGCGTAATAATTATCAGAGTTAAAATATCCTTGCTATTTTTGACATTTCAAAACTCATAAAGAGATGCAGGGTCACCCTTCTTATCTCAATCTATCCGTCTGCGGACTAGCCGACCTACTTTATCCGACCGCAGACCAGCCGACCTACTTTATCCGACCGCAGATCATCAGACCTGTCTGTTCGACCGCTAACCATCCGACCGAGGACCAACCGACCGAGGACCTTCCGACCTGCCTATCCCACCGCTAACCAACCGACTAGACCAACCGACCGAGGACCTTCCGACCTGCCTATCCGACCGCTAACCAACCCACCTGACCATCCGACCAACCGACCTGAGCGCAAATTTTTCTCCATTTCCACCAGACTTTGTATCTAACTTCCTTTAAAATCCTGCTATCCTTATTTTTATAATTATTATTATTATTATTATTATTATTATTATTATTATTTGTGCGTAACAATTATCAAAGTTGAAATATCCTTGCTATTTTTAACATTTCAAAACTCATAAAGAGATGCAGGGTCAC